ATATTGTATTGAGGTTAAATATTAGGCGCAGGTCAGTGAGTTTAAATACTGTTTGTCCTGATTCTTTTAGGAATTGGTGTAACTTGAGCAATCTTGAATGAGATTAGAAAAACTCCTGATTTGAATGAGAGGTTGGCGAGTTGAGTTATAGTTAGACTAAATAATTCTGAACGCAATTTAAGAATATTTGTAAGTGCATTCCCTAACTTTCGTTGTTACTCAATTCCTTAACTTTCATTGTTGGGTATTAATGCGCAACAAAAGATTGATGGAAAGCAGATAAGATACGCGGCACTTTTTCTATTTTGGACAAAGAAAAAAAGTTTGCTAATTTTTTCTTGTATGCTTATAAACTTTTTTATCACTTAAGTGTTGGTATTTTATCATTTTATCGTATCGTACACAAAGCAATATTTGCATAGTTTAAATGACAATTTATAAAAAAATAATATAAATGTATTAAACTTGATTAATTCAAAATATTTCTAGCCTTACCCATTACTCCTATAGTTTTAACAATGTGATATTCACTAATAAAGAAATCACTAATACAGAAATAATTGACCTCCTAGATTTTCCTTAACATTCATAGAGTGTTGAGAGATCTGTACAAATTGTTTTGATGGTTTCTAGTACTATCTTTGGAAAGGAAGCACGTCATAAGCATTTTGTAGCAAAAAGTCTAAACCGAAAGCATATAAGAGTTTTATGTCTAAATGTTATTACGGTAGGTAATAACATTTAGTAGGTAAGATGATATATTTTGTTAATTTAAAGACTAATTTATTGCTACTTGTATCAGTAAAAATAAAATATAATAAAAATGTATAATAGTTTTTAAGTTAGTCATTACCTCACGTGGCTAAACATAAATAAATAAAAAGAACTTACTTTTAACGCAATTTTTTTAATGCACTATTGAATTTATATAATTTCAACTTTTGATTTGCAGAACATATATTTTATTCATAGCTTAAATCTCGTCGTTATTTTGGTAACTTTAAGTTAATCTGAGAAGATTCTCTGTCTGATTAACTTAAAGTTACCAAAATAAGTGCGCCTGATTTATTTTTAGTTTACCATAATTTCTCACACAATTTGCCAAGTAAGTTTAAAATTGTTTTTTTTTTTCCAATCAGTAGAGTAAAAGCGGTCAAATAAGTTTTTATTTATCACGGTAAAAAGATTTCAATTTTTTTTTTAAGTTGTAAAGACTTTTGAATTGTATTTAAATATAAAATCAAATATATTTTCAAAAAAGTTTTTTAAGAAACTTCATTTATTTGGAAAAAAAAAAAATTTTTTATTATTTTTTTTTATTTAGGTGCCCATTAAATCTTTCGGTCTTATCACAGAAAAGCATTTGAAAGAACGCTTCTTTTCTTATCGATGCTATAAAACTTACCGAGAGGTGGTGTTGAATAACGGATCTCTATTTCTGTGGCTAGCGTACTAACCACTGCACTTCGACTCCTCCTTTTTCATTCTATTCTACGGCTGCATATTTCAATATACAGCCGTATCAAAAAAAAAACTTAATTTAAAAAATACAACCATTTATGTTAATTAAAAATCATCCAATAATACAAATAAAAAAATAATTTTATTTATGTGATAATGTTAAACCTTTAAGAGGTTTTGGAGGTTGAGTTGAGTTGTCACTTGCGCGGCACTTTTTAAAGCAATAAAACTCAGTGCTTTTATACATTTCTTGGGAATAGATGTATGACAAAGCCAAACCTTGCATTTGGAATTTTCGGTTTGATATCATTCACTTTTTTGACTTGCTTAAACTTTTCTTAAAAATTAGGACACTTTTATACTTGACTTAGTTTGCTACTGCTGTTGTTGTTGGAGATGGTGTTGTTAAAAGATTTATCTGCTGCTCATCATCAAGGTCAAATTTACGTCAAGATTACGTTGTTTCCTAGCCTGATTTGCTTTATTTTTATTGTCTTTCGATTTCCATCTTGCTGAGCGAAAACAAGCCAGTCTTTTGAAACCCAAAGTGACTATTTGCGTGCATGTAAAAACTTCAACAGAGGTTTAAATGCTGAAACTTGAACAGAATGTTTTTCTTGCAATTTACTAAAACATCCTTTTGACAAACTGCTGAACTTTGTCTTTGCACAAAACTCTTAAAGTAATATAATATTATGTCAAATTTTGAATCCACCCCCCCCTCCTATACAAAGAAACTACGCACAAACTTAGCCTAATTTTTCGTTATTAAAGCAATGAAACTCGAAAAAAAAAAAAAAAATTGTTGACGTCAACTTTAATTGACCTCCCCCCTCCCCCGTGTCAACAATTGTCAAAAAAACCCTGTGTTGTGATATTATGAAACTGTGTTGTGATATTATAACTCTGTGTTGTGATATTATAACATTTTGTTGTGATATTATATAGCGTTGATTTGTTTTTTATAGCGTTATCTGTTTGTTTTGTATCTAACAAAAACAAGAATGTCTTTCATGGTTGAAGATTATCTAAATTTAATAGTTACCCATTTTTAGACCATAATTTTTTGTATAAATATTTATTTATAAAATTTATATTTAATTCATGACCATTCTTATACGACAAAAAATTGTCTAAAAAACTCACTTCCAAATTTAAATTAGGAGAACTCTCTATAAAGAAATTTAAAAAAATTTAATTTTAGAGGAAAGACTTAAATAGATTTTTTAATACTACTTACATTGAATACAAAAATTTGCTGCAATAGCGGGTCCGACTATGTTTACAATGCGTTTGTGCACCTTACCTAAAAGAAAAAGGGCATTGTGATTTATTGAGATAAAGAATAGATTCCTAAATAAGAAAGTAGCAAGCACGATAAAGAGATGCAACCCTATCAGATGCTTATGTTGCCATGGATTTGATTTGTAGTTACCAAGAATATCGGAAATAATTTTTGTATCTTAAAGACAGAAACGTATCGATGGGCCCGCAGCCGTAGGAGGGCCTAGACTTATTAGGGGCCTAAGCCAAATTTTTCAAATACACTTAATAACATTTTTACTTTTATTGCATATTTAAGAATTAGAAATTCTTAGCTATACAATATGTAACATAATTGTTTCAATTAACTTAAATCAAAATTGTATTTAAAAATAACGCTTTTTGTTTTCATGTATAATTTTTTTTTGTTTTGAGGGGGAGGGGAGAGAAATAATTTAGGATTAAAATTTTAAGAAAAGGCCTATTTTTTGTCGCCAAGCCACTGCTTAAAGGCCAAACGAAGATGTACATTGCCGTTCATAATTTTAGGAAGATCTTGATTGTTGTGATAACTATTAGTTTTACTTGAGTTAAAAATTATCAGCCACGGAGAGGCAGATGAAACTTCTTTATAAAATTAATTATATATTGGTGCAGGTTAAACATTCTTTAAAAAACGCACTAAAAGAAATAGGACGTGACTATTTATACAAATAAAGACTTTTAAAAGCTTATGTTCTATTTAAGTAATGAAAAATGACAGTAACCCTGCAGTAAAATTGAGGCGGTTTTGCGCTTTTCTTATACTGCCGATATTGCTGGCTTTAATATTTGAATTAGTTTTAGCAATATAAGTAATTCTAAAACCAGCGGAACTATCAGTAAAAACCCGACGGGCATTTGTTTTTAAAAGTTACGTTCTGAATGTGTTTTAAATGTCTTTTAAACATTAATGTTTAAAAGACGTTTAAAAGAAATTTAAAAGTACATTTAGATCGTAACTTTTAAAAAGAAATGCCCGTCGGGAAAAGTTATAATATCCGCATCAATTTTAATGCAAAAGTACAGACATTTTTATATGCCTAAATTATTACTTGAAGTTATTATCAAATATATCAATTTTAAAATTATTATTAAGTTTATTATCTTTGGACGAAATTGTCAACTGTCCTAAACTTATTTAATGCTCTGGCATTTTTACATTTGCAAAAAACCGATGTGTTCTGCCTACATGACTTTTAGCATTTTAATATATATAAATAAATATAAGAAACTTTCAAATTTTTTTTTTAAGTAAAATTTAATTTTTTTAAAAAATAATTAATATATAAAAAAGTTTAATCGAAATAAAACCTAATGTCTGATTTACTATTAAGCAAAAGTTATATGAATTTAACTTTCGAACAAAAAAACTCCAAACAAAAAATTCTGCAAAGTTTCGAATTTTTTTGTTTCGTTGTCAACGAAAATCTTAAAAAAAAATGGCGAATACTTTAAACTTCAAAAATAATTGATATTAGCATAAATGTGATTGTGTGCAGAATATAATTTTATTTTTTTAAATATAAAATTAAATTTCATCAACTTTCAATAAACCTGAAAACTCATGAGTTTATCGTAACCATCATGTATAATAACGAAGGTTGAATATAATAAAGAAATATTGCAGTAAAAAAAGAAAAAATATTGTCAAAAAATATTTATTATTAATTTGATAAGAAAAAAGGTAATTACCGTAAAAGTATATTTAATCTAATTTTAGTATTTTATATAATTAATACTTTTTGATATTAATTATATTTTAATATTTATAGTTACAAACGAATAAATATATTATAATTATGATCAAAATCATCAAAATTCATGATATAATTATAAAAATATAAAAAAACAAAGTTTATAAATAATAATTATATATTTAAACAAAGTTTAATATCAATTATTATTATTTATAGTTTAATGTTATTATTATTATTAAAAATGTTAAAAAAAAAATAATTATGAAAAACTATGTACCACAAATATAATTATATATTTAATAGTTTATGTAATTACTATTTTAACTAATATATTTTAAAAAATACTAATTATAAATATGAATAATATTATAATATAATATTGAACTTTTTTATTTAAATCTAATATATTTAAATTATTTCGAATATTTAAAGCAAATAAATTTATAAAAAAATAAATTAAATAATTTAATTTTTTATTTTTATTTTACTATTTAAAAATACATTAAATATTTCATTTATTATTTTATAATTATTTTTTTTAGTTTATATATTTAAATATTAAACATTTTCCCGCGTTATAAAGTTAATTCATCGAGGTTACGAAAATATTTTCCACGGTACTTGATCACAAACTTCTTGATGTTCGAACAACGAATCCATTCGCAAATGTCTTTAAAGAAATCAATGTCGTCGTGAAGTTCAAGATCTAATTCTTCACAAAGATTAATCCAAGGAAGAAAATTTTTTTCAAAATCTTTTTTTGTTATTAAATAACGTGAGATCAATATCCTCAACACTTTAATCTTATCTTTCGGTTTCCATCCTTCGAAATTAATTGGATGATAAAAGCTGACATCGCGAATATTAGTTGAACATCGAATTAAAAGATTTTTTTCTTCATCACTTAAAATATTTTTATCAACATATAACCACTTTAACTTTCTTCCAGATTTTATGTAATAATTTACGAAATAATTCTCGCAAGAAGTTGCGTAAGAAGTTTTTCCATCGTCAATCAAAATCGTCCAACCACCAAACCATCGTTCTTTATTTCGTTTATCAACAATTGAGTTTATTTCATCAGTGAATGACGATTGACTTTCGTAAAAACATTCGTAGAACAAATTATAATCACCAAAAGTACCAATACTTTTAGATAGACGATCTAAAGAAAAATTAAATGTGAAATATAACAATAAACAAATAAATAAGAAACAAAAAATAAAATAATAATCAAAATTGTGATATTATACATATAATATTATTATTTTTCTATATACAAATATAATTAATACACTATAATTAAATAAAAAATTGAATACATTTTCATATTATTAATAAATATATTATATTTATTTAATAATATAATAAACATAATCACATTAATAATAAATGAAATTATATATAAAACTTAATAAAACTTTTAAACAAAATAACTTCTTAATAAAAATTATAAAAAATATACTAATTTTATTATTTTGAACATAATTTTTATATTAATAAATTTTATTATAAATGTTGTGTTTATAATTTTTAATAACCAATAACATACATATATAAAATATATTTTTTACTTAAAATAAGATAAAACAGATTAAAAATATGTTTAACTTAGAAAAAATACTTTATTTATTCATATTGTCATTCGAAATAAATATCATCATTTTTTTATATATATATATATATATATATATATATATATATATATATATATATATATATATATAAAAAGATAAAAAGGAAAACCTGTTTTATTTATATGCGAATTTGTAAAGAACTCAATGTATTTATAAACCGAATTCCTACAGAACTTGTTCAAATTTAAAATTTACATCGAAAATCTCCTTCGACAATCTTTTTTTAAAAAAGTTATTTAAATAAATACGAAAAAACGTCAAAGAGTGAGGGTTCAAATATTTGGTGATTCGATTCGATTTGAAACTTTGAAGAAAATCAATGAAAAAATGCATCTTTTATACAACTCATAAATTAAATTTTGATGCAATTAGCGCTTCTTGAATAAGGCTACAAAATATATATTATTATAATATAAAAAAAAGCAACTAACGCAGCTAAGAAGAACCAATAATCTATTCAATCAAATTTAAATTTTTATACAAATTATATCGAATGCATGTTTTTTGGATAGACAAATAAAATTTTGTTTTAAAATTTTGTAATTCATGTAACAGTCATTTTAAAGAAAATTTTTACTTTCACTATCATTTTATAAAATTAATATTTCTCTTTACGAGTGACCAAATGAACACAAGTTCTAATGAGAAAATTTAACTTACGGTGAGAACATAAAAAAAGCTACTAATAACAATAGTGTCACAGGAGTATTAAAACTTGGACAAACTGTCGATTTACAAATTATTGAACTATATTGTGGGAATATTTTACATGTTTATTAAATCGAATGAAACAACTAAAATTAAAGTCGCTTGAAATTACAGTCTTAGAATAGAATCAGCTTATATCTTGAAAATAAATTATTATCAAAAATATTAAATTTAAATATTCTTAGCATCTTTTCTTGCATTTTTTTTGTTTAAAAAAATTCACTGAATATATCAACAAAATAAATAATAATGAAAAAAAAAAATTGTTTTCATAATTATATTCAAGAGGTCATTGTCGTCGTATCGCCTTAAAACAATTCGACTTTAGTTCCAAAACATAAACTTTTTAAATGAAAAGAAAAAATTGATTATAAAACTGAAGTATACTTACAAAATTTAAAAAGTTTTGTTACCAGTGTGAATTTTAATAAACAATGATAACAAAATGATACCGTAAAGCATTTTAAGAAAATAAATTGAAAAGTGAAATTTAAAACTCGATCATCGAACTTCAAAAAATCTTTTAATAAATTCGAAAAAAACAGTAAATATTGAAAACAAACGTTTCGCTTATAATATGATTTTGTAACCATCGCAACTGATTTCCAAATGCACGATAGCGGTAGCAGGTTCTTAAAACGAAAAGATAAAAACCGAAAAAACCTTATTATAATTTTACATACAACCTACTTTTTAAAATTGTTATATAATTTTTGTTCCTACAGCCCCGGATCATTGTTACTAAAATGGAAAACACTAAGCCATCAAAAAAAAAAAAAAAAAAAAAATTATATTCAACTGTATTTTTTTATCAACTGCTTTTTAAAAGATATGGTCGTTCGACTAAAAAAAAAAAATTTAAAAGAGCGCCGATTTAAATGTAAATGTTTTTGATAAGATTGAACTCTTAACAAAAACTTGCTACACTTTTAATTATATTGGCAAATATAAAATTATTTAACTGTTAAAAAAATTATTACACTAAATTGCTGAATAATAATCTTTATTTTATGTAATTAATTATATTTTATATATCAATTACTTTGATATATTATTCACTTTTATTGTAGAATTTTTATTTGTTGTAATAATTCTTACAATGCCTGCATTCTATTACAAAAAGATAATATATAACTGTTTTCATATGCAGTAAACAACGTTCGTCTAAAGAATTTTTTCATACTGCAATAAACGACACTTGTTAAAGTGTATGTTCTTGTAAACATGCAAACGTTTGTTAAAAAAAAAAAACAGAAAGAAAAACGAACGTCACTTTTCTTTAATTTTGCTTACGCAAACGTTGGCGTTTGTTTAAAATTAATAAAAACGAACGTATTACTTTAGCGTTTTTTTTTTCCAAATATATATGCGATTGATAGTTTTTTATTTAATATAAAAACACATATTTATAATAAATATAATATTTTTAAAATTACATTTTACAGTGCAGACTTCAAATTTGAATGAATTTGATGCTTTTTTGACTACTATTGAACTGTAATTTGATAAAGACAGACCTAAATTTTAATTCTAATATTATACTAATTTAATTTATCCTAAACAAAGTGAAGAAAGAATATTTATGCAATTGTTTTGCAAGAAACGATGTATACCACAAGGTGACTCGTAACCTCAACGCCCAACACAAGGACATCTTGACCTTGATAAACAATTGATATAACTGATAAACAATTCAGTAAAGAATAAAAGAAATCAAAGATTATTAAAATGTAAACTGCAATATTTTTATAAGGGAAATTTTAATCAAAAATTCATATATTTATATGCCCTATATAAAAATATAAAAAATATTAATGTTAGTGTTGCTCTAAACTAAGCAGTTTTTAGTCATTTTAAGGTCCGTTTTTTTGTTTCAAATATGTCATTTGAGGGCAAGGAATGAGTGATTCAATGGCGTTCAAATTTTTTACGAGTTAGTTTAATCATATTTGCTTCAAATATAGATGGTTTGGTTTTTCAAATACCAAAAATTTTTAATGTCTAAGAGATGGTTTCCAATAACAGTAACTCAAACAAGAGTTGTGCATTTAAATTTAAATGAATCGGTTTTCGATAAAAGGGCGTAAGTCACAAAATACAATTTTTTCAAAAAATAAAAAAACTTAATATCAAAAAAACTTCTTATTAAAAAGATTTTTGAAAATTAATTTGAAAGTAAAAGTTACTGTTTTATAAAATTAGTAAAGTTTAATAAAGTTTATTATTTTATTTTTAAACCACTCTTTAGAAATATTTTTGAACAAAAATATTTTAAACCATTCTTTCGAGTAAATTGACATGGTTTAAAAACCGTTATAAATGAATTTAACATCAAAACTTTTTTTAAGTTTTCCATCAAATTATTATTTTTCAACCAGAAGTTTACTTGTAACTTTTTTTGAGAGTATTTTAATATTAATTTTAATGAAGCATAAAAAAAAAGTGCAAAAATATGTTGCATTCTCCCCCATACATGACAGAAACCTATTTAGGATGCAAAAAAATAAATATTATCTCCACTGACACACACTTAACATGAAACTATACTCTTGCGTAAATAATACATGGGAGAAAAGGTTTTTAAAATTTTGAAAAACTCTCCCACTCACCCTCTATAAAATCTCGTACCCTACTTTTTATTATTGTTTTCTTTCTTTTAGAAAAAACAATTAAATCCTTACGTGAAAAAATAAAGTTTCCAAATTATTCTTTATAAATGTAATTATAGTAATTCCTAATTTGTAATAACTTTTTATTCTTATGAGAGTGAAAACTTGACTTTCTTGTTAAAGACGTTTTAAAAGTAACTTCAAGCAAAGAAAGAAAATAGACTTTTTACTAAAAACCATATGAAAGTGATTTCAAGATTTTAATAAAATACTTATATGAATTATTTCAAAAACAAAACATTGAAAAGGACTCTGCAGTCTTTTTTATAATATTTTATTTATGAAAAAAAAAATACTTCGTTTAAAAAAAACTTATTTGTGTTTTACTTTTTTTTTTATATATAACTTTGATTTTTTTAAATAAAAAAAAATTGTTTCTCTTGCTACACTTAACCAAAGATTTGAGAAATTATATGTCTATATCATGCTTGAAAACAGTCTTTTCAAAAATATCAAATAATAGCCACGAATTCGCTCTTACATAATCAACCACTGAAGGTATTTCCAAATTTTGAAAGCTGACGCTGCATCTAATTTAAACATTTTCCGATGGAGAATCTGCCAGAACAAAAAGCTGGTCCTGTACAGTTAATACTTCAATAATTTTTAACATTATCTTATCAAATAATAATGCTAATAATGAGTTTATTTATAACATTATGAAATCAAAGGCTAAAAAAACTATGAAAACTTGAAAACAGCTGTATCTGAATTCCCAGCTCTGAGAAATTTAGGAAAATAGAAAATTGAAATATATGTTGCCATCTTTTCCACATTCTTTATCTTCCTTTTGTCTCAAGTTCAGGATTTGCTTTTTCAAATTATAAGGAAGCATGACATTGCGAACTCTTCAGATCAGTAAATACTTACTGCCATAAAACATGTATGGTTTACTGCTCCAGGCTTGTGAATGTTGAGATGCTTGAATGTTGGTTCCTAAAAAATGAGAGCTAGCTCAGTAAGTTCCTGGTAGTCTCTAGTTCCTGGTAATATTGGATATTGTTTTTATTAATAAATATTTCACATTTATTACATAAACTTGAACATTTAAATGGCTAGAAAAATTAACCTGAAAATATTCGAAAACACATTCATTAACAAGTGTTATTAAAAGATTTCTTGCCTCATCTGCTTGTTCTTTAAACTAAGAA